AGAGTGCTGCACAAAATTGTAAAGGGGAAATCACATAGACATTAAACAAATAAAGGATGAGATTCAGTATTTTATACAATTTACATGCCAGAAAAAGGCCCTTCCTTTCAGAGTGAGTCACAGAGTTTATTCATGTTGAATAATACCAATGCTTTTCTTCTGCTCCCATGGAGTTCAATTTTCAACATAAGCAGAAATGACAGTGCCTGGCACTACAGTAGATTATAAAAATATCTAGCCTTAAAGATTTGACTCATTCTATAACGTGCTGCTCAAGAAAAAGACAGTGTTGCCTAAAACTCCCCAAATACATAAACCAAAATATTGGGGTTTTATCAACACTTTTTTTTGTTTTAAATTACTTGCAGTACTGTAATTCAACAACACTTTTCTGTGGTTAACAACAGATCATTTACTAAATGATGTACTTTCTAAGTTTTAAGGACTATATAGTCACCACATTTGTCAATCTTGCAGTTGATAAATAGATAGATGTGGTTAGTTTCATTTTTACCATGATCTAAGCAATTTATATCTACTTCCTAGAAACAGGTTAAATATTATAAATGCAGACATAAAATTACTTTCTTACCTAGAACAACTGAAAACTTAAGAAACTATCCACAAGATTAACAATTTATTTCATTTGTTTAAATGTATCTTTAAGGCCAATTTCTATAGCTGGTTAATCTATTTGGTTTATAGCTACATCTGGTGGAAGAAGATGGGATCAGTAAGGAGCTTAAATAAATGCATATTAAAAAAAGCCAGCTAGGATTAATTCTAAATCAACAGTTAAACTGCTTTTAACTGTTCCACTCTGTAAATCTGGTCATTTTTCTTAGAAGCTTTTACCTCCTCAAGCAGTTCCTTAGTCATACTCAGAGCAACTAAAAGAAAAAGCCTTCTGACACATGTAGACAGACAGCTTAACCTTAATAAACACAAACCTAGCTTGGAAAGGAAAACAAAGTGTAAAAATTATGCTTGTTATATCAGTTGTCCAAACAATGCATTGAAATTGTACACCAGTAGTAAAAAACCCAGCAAAATACATGTTAAAGCAATTGATGTATTATGTATTATAATGACAGTAACTATACATTTGACATGTAGCACTTTCAGGTTCTGAGGAAGAATCAGAGGCCATTGTATTAGTTGCATATAGTACATACAGACAGTAGGCGGTGAATTTCTGCCTCAAACATTTATAGTCTGAGACTTCCAAATCCTGAAATGTAGCCAATATGCGAATCTGATATTTAGTTAGAAAAAAGGGATTAGGTACTTGCAGCAAGGCAAAAATTTGCACTGTCAGAGGAAGTAAAGTTTCTTTTAAAATAGCAACATGACATTTAGGTCTACTGACCTTTGCAGTGCTGCCATTTCATTTCCACTATTCTAGCAATAATGCAGAGATGACGAAGAATAAATCAGATATCATCTCATCAGAAAATAATTCTATGAAATAAATGTTTTATCATTTAATGACAAAGCATACACAATCAGGGCTGGTTTTGTTCCCTTTCTCTTGATGACTCACAGCATTTCTTTCCTTGTCATCCTATTCAGCTTTCTTACTCTGTTCTGTGGGAGATCTCACCCAACAGAAGTTAATAAAAATAATAATGATGATTCAGACTGGCCACAGGAATCTCCTATTTTCTCTTTCCTGCCTTCTTGTCTCCTTCTTTCTCCCTTCTCCCTCCACGCTTTCCTCCTCCTCTTTCTCCATCCCTTCTCCCACTCCTCCCTTTGCTCCACTCAGTTTCCTCCCTTCTCCTCCCTCCCCATTTCTCTTTCCTTTTCTTCCTACCCTCTCTCTTCCTTTCCTATCTTCCCCGTCCTCGCTCTTCCCTTCTTCCTTCTTACCTTTCCTTCATAACTCACTTCCTTCCCTTCTTTCCTTTCTTCCTTCACTCCCTCCTAATTAACTTCTTCAAATAAAAACCTCATTTTTCCTCATGTAACATATAGCACAGCTTTTTCCAGGAAAGACAATCTCATTGTTCTTACTCACCTATGGTAATTTCTCTGACATTTCTTTTATTCAATATCAACCCTACACTCAAATCTCACCAGCAGATCCTCCTTAATTTTTCAAGATTTTATCTATTACTTTTATACAAATGGCCAAAATTCTCATCCTGTTTCATCACCTTCTCTTGACCAACTCCTCAGACTCAAACTAATTTCTTTCTACTCCAGTTTCTGGTCTAGTTTTCTAATAAATCCAAATTATGCCCTGCAATTTGCAGGCTTTTGTCCTTTTTGCACGTATGCCTTTCACTGTTCCTTCTACAAGTCCCCTCTTCCCCAGTACCTCAACACACTACGCAAAGTTTGAGCATGTTCAGTGGTGACAGGACATTAGCTGCTATACCCAGGTAAATTTCTGTTTGACCATATATGAACAGCACAAAGTTCAAAGCAGCTTCTTATCATTCCAAAGGCTCAAATACTAGTGAAATTCGAATAGACATTCACAAAACTGTCTAAATGGATATCCTTGGCACAAGAGTGACTTTGCTGAAACTTCTATTCCTAAGTATAAGGGATGGGCTGAGGTAGCACTGATGTTCCCTCAGAGAAAATCTTTCCATCATTTCTTATGCATGAGCAAATCAGTTTCAGACATCTAGAACAACTGAAGTATCCAGGCTAAAGTTTTCCAGAAAAATTGCCCGAAGCAAATACTCAACATTTAAGTTTCAGCCTAAATGATTAACACATACTCACAGATATGCCCTGATGCATCTCTCCTAGCTCTGTGCTTTATGAGGCAAATTTGCTCTTAGGTTTTACTATGTTTGAAACATCTTTAGAACACTGATAAATTATTCTTGTACATTTGGGTCTCATTCCTGACTGAGTTGATGTGGCTTACCGTTCAACAAATACCAAACATTAATACAGGAAATCATGCATTCCAACACAAAAATTCTGACCAAGACCTAAGGAAAAAAATTAATGAAGCCAATATCATGCAAACTTTACGTAATCAGACCATACAGACTTTCCACCTGTATATGTAAGGAGATACTAGTTTCTCAAGGGAGTAAGCAAAGGTAAGATTTGTTCAGGTAATCAACTAAATTTACCTAGAATTCCTGGCAGCTCCTGCACAACGTGACAGATGAGAAGATCCAGGCACTTTGACAGGTATTCACTGCCGCCTTGCTGCTCTTTTCCTGGTGTGGTCTTTCTGCTGTCTCTTTCAATGTACATCACAAGTCTACGTTTAAGCACGTGCGAAACATTACCTCTCAGAACAAAAAAAATGACATGATATCTCAAATATACTACTGAACAAGACATTTCTAGTATCTGTAGCTACAATACATTAGTTTTGGCTCTGTAATTTTGTTGACATTTCGGACTTTCCCTTTTCAAATAAATTGATTTTTAAAATAACAGAAATGACTGTGTCAAGGCACAAGAGGAAAGAAACCCTCAAGCTACTGCAAGTAAGTGCAACTTTACTAGTTTAAATGAATATATGATGCTAACACAAGGAGTGAATCCCTCTGCAGACGTAGACAGACACTAATTGTAAAATCCACTTCATTTTGAAATATATGAAAAATATGCGCAATAGGAGCATGACTAAAGACATTAATTTTCAATATGTAAGAATTCCAAAAGCAAGAATAATTTAAGTCAACATAACAAGACATCAATCTTTCAGTCAAGAATAATCATACAACAGCCTATCAAAATGTTAGCACTAGGCAGAATGGCCATACTGAAAGTTATAAAAGTCCAAACTATTCTTACACTCTTTGTCTAGAAATCTGGTGTTCAAGACTTCTAAAGAAAAACTCAGTGCTTACATTCTAACTGGTAAGTGCTGTGTAGATATGCTATTCTGAAGAATGACATTTCTCATAGTAAACTATGGGAACTGATTTATTAGCCATTGGCTACCTTACAAGAATTTGCTTTAATAATACACCTGTAACACAATGCTTCAGGCAATATTTTGAAATGCTCATTTGAATAGACAGAACAGCTAGACTTCCCTTGAGGGGCATAATATTGGCATCTTTGTTTCACATTCGAACTCTCTGGGAGTCCTGTGAAAAGAATCATCAGTCACTGGTGAGTGAAATCCATCCTATGGATTTTAAGAATGTACTGCAGTATTACCATTCTTTTTTTTTTTAAACACCCTTCTTATAATCAATGCTCTTTTACAGAAGTATGAAAATAACTTATTTAAACTGCCTCATGTGTACACAAGAGAACTGCAGGCCTCACAAACACAAAATTTCATCCAAGGAGGTGTGTATTTCCATCAAAAAGCCAATTTACCTAAGAATGCATTTTGCAGGATTAGGCCTCTAAACAATACATGATTCTTATGGAATACTACAGCTCACCTTATCCTTCCTCAACTGTGCTACAGAGACAAAGATAGAGACAAATCAAAAGGCCTGTTCATTAACTACCTTTCATCTCCGCAATAGCCCAGACATAACACATTAAAAGCTGCACTTCCCAGAGACTATGGGGACATCTTTTATTTTTCTTGCAGTCTCTGGAAATTCTATTAAAGTACAAAGAATTTTGATTTGCCTGGTAGAACAGAACTACCTAAAAACTTGACATGATGCTTCACACAGAACATTCTTCAAAAATCATTAACTACCTTTCATCTCCGCAATAGCCCAGACATAACACATTAAAAGCTGCACTTCCCAGAGACTATGGGGACATCTTTTATTTTTCTTGCAGTCTCTGGAAATTCTATTAAAGTACAAAGAATTTTGATTTGCCTGGTAGAACAGAACTACCTAAAAACTTGACATGATGCTTCACACAGAACATTCTTCAAAAAGCTTTAAGTTTTTTTAACATAAAAAAATCTAATGTTCCAAATTAAAATGGTATAAAGCCCTCTAGCTTTCCCAGACCACCAAGTAATTTTTATTCAAAAACTATTTAACTTTGAACAAAAACATGACAAAAGATCAGCTTTTGTATGGATTTTTTTTCTTTAAGAAAACACTGCCACGATTTAACAATCATCTGATTTATATGAAAATATGTTTAGATCTGTTTAAGTTTTACTTAAAATAGGCTAAAAAGACTTCAACATGAGTGGCTTTATTGCTGGGGGAGGAAGGAAGCAGGTTCATTTTTCAAGAGCATCTTCTATTCATTAACCACATTTGAGAAACATACAAAGTACGTTCATTTATTCTGAAAGAGGAAAGATAGAAAGTTTACATAAGCTAATGAGTTCTCCCTTTTTTTTTTGTCTTTCCCATCACAGCATTGTCTTTCATGTAAAGATTTTCTAAAAATACACACAACTATTTTTTCCCTGATTGTACTGTTCAACTAAACATTGTTTTGAGAAAATTGTACAGATCCACATATAGGCAGGAAAGCATAAGAATCTATTTCCCTTTGACAAATCCCTCAATCACTCAGTCAGTCATGTGTAGAATAATTCATCAGTTACTTTTATTTCCTGAAGAATCTCAGTGTCCTGATGGGCAAAACTAGGCCTATAGAAATACTACATTTATTCAATTCGTATAATGCACGTGTTTGTCTCGCACTCCACAATACATGCAAAAATATGCAGGTTTACTATAAGTAAATTAAACATGATGAGGAATAAACCACTGTCTATGAAGCCCGTTTTGATTTTAAAAAAAAATTCAAGTATCTATATTGCATGATATGGCCATCAGTGAGCTTTTACACAAAAAAAAAGCAAAACAACCCAAGTTTTCCAAGAAAAGATGTGAAAATCGGAGCAAAAAGGGAAGAATTGCAAAGAGTTAATAGTCCTGAGGAACAGAAATAGGACTGAGGTCTACTACTTAAAAAGAAAAAAAATTGTTCACTTATAAAGATGATCAACTTAAAAAAAAAAAAAGAGAAGATTTAGTCTGAATTCAGAAGACTGAGCAGAAATGTGATATAGTCTTCAAATCTACAAAAGTCACTGTAAAAGGAAAGAGACTACACTGTTTTCCGTGTTTTCTGTGGAAACAGAAACACTTAACCTGTGGAAATGGAATTTCAATGAGAAAACAGTAAGAATTTTTGAGTGTTAGGAATAGCTAGCAATTAGAACAGCTGGCAAAAAGAGGCCATGGAATATCTACCAGTTTCCACCAATGATTAAAAAAATATTTCTCAGGCATAACAGACCTCGACCTGGAACAGAAGGGTAGACTCTGCAACCGCTCAAGGTCTTTTTAAGCACTGTCTTCGAAAATTCATTCATTCCCTTCTATCAGTGACATTTACCCTCAACATCCTTAAAATCAGCTTTAGGTATCAATAAGGTTCATCCACAACTTTACTGGCACCTCAACCAGGGGAAAAATGCATGAGACTGCCAGACGACTGAACATAAAAGCAGGAGGTCTCTCGCAGTCTTCTCCCTGCTTCTCCCTTCAGTTCACAGAGAATGACAGACCTCCAAGAAACGAAAGAACATCTTGCATGCTTTGAGGACATATACAGTCCTTTTACCCCCACAATTCAAGGACCTGGTTTTAGTCAAAATCTGCTAACAGAAAAGGATGAGGATTTTAAAAGGATTTTTTAATATAGACACCTTTGTTTATTTTACAGAGATGCAACACTGCATAGCAGATCATGTTTGCAGGAAGGGTCAATCCCTGTCTCCCCCTCTACACTTTTTTTCAGTTTGATACCAGCTTGCTGCTTTTTTTCCTCTCAAATCACTGACGTCTGTAACCATTGCCTCCTGCCTTCTATTTCCATACCATACCCTGTGACTGAGCACCAAACTTTACTGTTCTTTTTCTCACTATTTTTCTGGGCCAACCTTAGTCATAAAAGGCCAGCAGACTATGGTAGATGTGAGATTGGAATAGGTCTCCAAGTAAAGCTTTTCCTTTTAGGGCACATGCAAGATCTGAAAATTTTAAAAAGTACAGGAGGTGGAGACATAACAGAGAAAGATTTTGCTCAAAAGTTATGCTTTTTGCATAGTTAGGCTTTTGCAGACTGTGAAAGTCTGTCAGGAGTACTACTACCCTATGTTTCCACAAGTCCATCTCTGTAGATAGTAGAAAAAGAGGTTTAAATAAATTATTTAGGGAAGAAGTTCAATCTCCAGGGCAGTCTCTATTCACCTAGGAAATTCTCTGATACCATTTAGAACCCAAAAGAACAATTCTGTGAGACTAATCAGAAAGTACTAGTAGTTTAGAAAAAGGTGAAATTGTAAGTCTCAACAGAACTTCAGGTTGTACCCCTCCCTTCATTAGCAGGTATCCCACCTTTGCAAATCATGGAGAAAACAAGGAGACTGGAAAACTCGGTGCAATTACCAAAAGAAATTAATTTGCATATTGTAAGCAAACAAGTGCTACTTTAGCCTAGAAGGTCTCCTATCTTCTCCAGCTGTATCACTGGCCAAGGAATGTGAAAGAACAAAAGCTATGTAATGGACTACTATGAAAGAGGTAGAAAATAGAACATCAGGTGAATTATATCAATGTTGCATGAGAAAAAAAAAAGTCGCTTCAAAATTACACTTGATATTATGTATAAATGCTTTTCATCCACAGATTGTGAAATCTCAAAGTACTTTGGAAAGTCCTAGTGGAATTTCCTAGGTGACATTCCCTTGTCAAGCTCTTGAATTAGACATTCCCACCACAACTAATCTCATAATATAAAAATATGCTGCAACAGATTCAAAGAATGTGCGTTTGTTTTGGTTTGGCTTTTTTTCTTAAAAAAAAACAACACAAAAATCTGTCCAAAGGTATGTATAATTTTAATTACTACACTAAACAAAAGCCTTTCCCAATGACAAACTGAACAATATTTGACTTGAAGCTAGAGATCACCGAATCACAGAATGGTAGGGGTTGGAAGGGACCTCTGTGGGTCATATAGTCCAACCCTCCTGCCAAAGCAGGGTCACCCAGAGCAGGCTGCACAGGACCCCATCCAGGAAGGTTTTTAATATCTCCAGAGAAGGAGAATCCACAGGCCCTCTGGGCAACCTATTCCAGTGCTCTGTCACCCTCAGAGGGAAGAAGTTCTTCCTCATGTTCAGGTGGAACTTCCTCTGCTTCAGTTTGTGCCTGTTGCCCCCTTGTCCTGTCGCTGGGCACTACTGAAAAGAGCTTGGTCCCATCCTCCTGACACCCACCCTTAAGATATTTATAAGCATTTATAACATCCCCTCTCAGCCTTCTCTTCTTCAGGCTAAACAAGCCCAGCTCCCTCAGCCTTTCCTTGCAGGAGAGATGCTCCCATTCCCTAATCATCCAGCCCTCTGCTGGACCCTCTCCAGTAGTTTCTCATCTTTCTTGAACTGGGGACCCCAGCACTGGACACAGTACTCCAGATGGGGCCTCACCAGGGCAGAGTAGAGGGGGAGGAGAACCTCCCTCCACCTGCTGGCCACACTCTTCTTAATGCACCCCAGGATCCCATTGGCCTTCTTGGAAACCAGGGCACACTGCTGGCTCATGGTCAACCTGTCGTCCACCAGGACACCCAGGTCCGTCGCTGCAGAGCTGCTTTCCAGCAGGTCAGCCCCGAGCCTGTACTGCTGCATGGGGTTGTTCCTCCCCAGGTGCAGGACCCTGCACTTGCCCTTGTTGAATTTCATCAGGTTCCTCTGCTTATGGGGATGTTACGGGAGACAATGTCAAAAGCCTTGCTGAAGTGAAGGCAGACAACCTCCACTGCTCTCCTCTCATCTACTCAGCCAGTCATGCCATCATAGAAAGCTATCAGACTGGTCAAGCATGATTTCCCCTTGGTGAATTCATGCTGATGACTCCTGACAACCTTCTTTTCCTCCACTTGCTTGATGATGGCCTCTAGAATGAGCTGCTCCATCATCGTTCCCGGGATGGAAGTGAGGCTGACCGGCCTGTAGTTCCCTGTGTCCTCCTTCTTGCCCTTTTTGACGATTCGAGTGACAATGACTTTCCTCTAGTCCTCGGGCATCTCTCCTGTCTTCCAGGACCTTTCAAAGATGGTGGAGTGTGGCTCAGCAATGATATCTGCCAGCTCCCTCAGCACTCGTGGGTGCATTCCATTGGGGCCCATGGATTTGTGGGCATCCAGATTGCCTAAGTGATCTCTCACATAGTCCTCTTCGACCAAGGGAAGGTCATCCTTTCTGCAGGCTTCTTCTCTTACCTCCAGGGCCTGGGATTCCTGAGGGCCTGCCTTGGCACTGAAGACTGAAGCAAAGAAGGCATTCAGTAACTCTGCACTCTCTGTATCCTCCATCACCAGGGCACCCACCTCATTCAGCAACGGCCCCACATTATCTTAACTCTAGTCTTCCATTTACTGCTGATGTACTTGAAGTTTTTCTTGTTGTCCTTGACTTCCCTTGCCAGATTCAATTCCAAGTGGACCTTAGCCTTCCTCATTGCACCCCTGCATGCTCTGACAACATTCCTGTACTCCTCCCAAGTGGCCAGACATATGCAGAGTTGCCATGAAACAGTTATTACTGACTGTTTAATCATCTGCATCATATCCTTTAACTGATGCATACTGACAAATTGCCTTATATTGATTATCTTTATCATAACATTTTTTAGAATCTAAAGCAATATAAATCCTGTTACAGGCACTAGTTGCAACTGCTAAAGACAAACCAATAAGTAGAAATTATGCACATTTTACTTTGTATTCTTTCTATTTCTCAAATCAGACCCCTTCATAAAGACGCTTTGAATATATCAAACATTTTCAATAGTTATTCCAACTGATTACTGCTTACTCTACTAGCAATTTTGAATTTATTAGTCTTAATTTTGAAGTAAGTGTTCTGTCACAGAACTGGAGATGTTTAACTAAAATATACCAACAGGAATTCAACAGTGTAAGTCAAAGAATGTCCATTATCCCTACTGAGCTTAATAAAATTCTTCCAGAGTTTAGGATATTATGAAAGTAGCTTATTCCACGTATAACGGGTCACTTCTCCTCTGTCACCCTACTGTAGCCATCTTACTTTCTGGATGTAAGAGAAAAGTTTTAGTCTAGATGATCTATCCTGTCAAGAGATATACTGTTCACTGAAAAACAATTATGAAGAAAACATGACAAATTAAGAAAAACTGTTTATCAATTCAATAAAACAGCTCTAAGGCTTGTCTATTCTTTGACCTAATGTGTTATATTATGTATTGGCCCCTAATCAGCTCTGTCTGGAGCATCGCAATACCACAGCAGGATAAAGCCAAAATTCACTATACAAAAATAACATCCCAAATTCACAACACATTCTCTTCAGATGGGCTGCTCATTGGAAAGTATTATAAATAAAGAGATCAATATGTTCACAAAAACTATTAAAGTTCTTCTCCTTCACTTAATATCTTAGGTATAAATAAACAAATAGTAACTATCAGCACTGGACTTCTGTCAGACATTTCTCCAAACACATAGCTCAGTCTTATGTGCTTTAACAAGTATATGAATAGCAGCAGTCACGAAAAATATGACCATTCGAAGTCACTTACAAATCATTAGAGACATTTTACACTAACCAGAACACACCACCTGATAAAACATTTCTGGAAGTATAAAAAGAGACACATGAAGAAGGAATTTCGATTCAGTAATTCTTCTCTACGATCTAGAAAAATTGGGACATCTACAGATTTGTATGTGAGCGGACGGATACAAAATGTTAGCACCCCACAAGATGTCCGCTCACAATGGCTTCATGGTGTAACTCACCTGCTCTTTCCAGTCCAGCCCTTTAGCTCCAAAGCATGCACCTTAATTCTTCTTAAACATCAGTACAAGATATTAAGTTATGTTTCCCATAAATGTAGTTATATTTACAGTTATGCACAAGCCTCATCCTTTTTCCCTTTTGGTTCTGAACCTGCTTTATTCCAATACCATAAAAACTGGCTTTACACTACTACTTGCTGTTCTTCATAACGAACAGTAGAAGATATAAACCCCAAATAAAATATCTCCAGCTTACTTCTCCAGTCACTCCCGAAATATGGTGACAATTTACATTCTAACAGAGGCTAATTTCCTCTTGTCTGATATGGGAATGTTTTTGTGCCATCAGAAGACACAAAAATTCAAATAACTATTCCACTGTGAGTCAAATACAATTTTAGAGCAGTCGTTTCTTGCAAAGTATTTTAAAACATAGAAACAGATAAAATATTTCATATAAAAGTCACAGGAATTCAGTGGTCATTATGTAAATCACTCCAACTACACATATAGCCAAGAAATATTATTTTACCTTGAATGTGCCTTTACTGAAAAGACTGGATTATACCACACAACTTACTGTTGCAGTATTTGTTCTGCCTGACCCAAAACAAAATCTGCTCCTTGCTAATGCTCACTGGGACCACAAGCTACTTAAAAGACACACCCTCCCTGTAAGACAGTGGTTTCCCCTTGTGAGTAATCATCACCTGATGACCCTAGACAAAAGAGAATACTCTTTTATTGATATTCTCCTGAATAAAAGCACTTATTACACAGAAAATAGTTTGCTCCTAAAACACTGGCTCAAAAATACCACACATTCTAAAGTATTTCACACAAGACTTCGAAAAATAAACATTACATCTTCTATTATCACCTTACCTTGCTTGACAGCTGAGTAGCAACATCTCCCTGTTATTAAATAAAACTTGTAGCAGGACCAGAAAGGCTTTTGCTCGAATAAAAGTTGAAGGGCTTTCAAGTAAACGAGTAATTGTAGTCACAAAATCCTTGGTAGAAATAAACACAAATATGTTAATATCATTTTATGGAAAAAAGTTACTTGCACTGTATTTTAATACTGTATACATTTAAAATTTGCTCAATTTCATGTGCATTCTGTATTAGTAAGGTACTTTCCATGTCACTCATAGCAAATAAATTAAAAAAACCAAACAAAAACCATAAAACACTACTAAATAAATTCTGCCCAAGACAGACTGCCCAGTGCAAAGCTGCTTTGTGTATCTTCAAGATTTGCAACAAGTAAACACCATGTTCTGTATTAAGTCCCAAATGGTACAAAATGCACTACAAAACATGGTAGAACTTGTATTTTAAAACATCTTACCTTAAGGATAAACGTAGGATATTTTAACGTATCTATTTTTACAGAAGACCAAAGAATTTTCAGAATACATAAATATGATTAAAAGTTTACCTATTAATTCTCATATATGCAGGAAGATTAAAACCACCACGTTTGTAAGCTACAATCCTGTCTACGTCAGACCTTAATTTATACAACTGATGCTCCAAATAGATGGCAAAACTGTTACTACCTTCTCTAATTGTTCTTATCTAAGCTAATTCTCTTTTGGGTTCATAAAGCAAAGAACACCTTTTCAAGCAACAATGCAAATTAGGACTTGGAAAAAAAGAAAAAGGATAAACTGTAAGCAGTAAGGAGCCATGACTTTCCTAATCCACTGATGACTGTCCATTCCTATGACAAAGGCAAGGATCTTAGCATCATATAAATTGACAACTCCTTCCTTCCTGTAAATCCAAGTGAAAGCATAATTTTAAATGTTTAACAAGGATAGTGAGAAATAAAGAATAATCACAAAATATTTCCCTTCAAAAGTTTAACAATGGTTGGCTAACTGGATTCTGAAATCCCAACTTTCTTCTTATTTTCTCTCTTTCTCTCTATTTTGTCCTCTATATTGAAAGGATTCTCTTCTCTAGTTTCTAAAATGTGGCCTGACACACGCAAAGATGTGAGATTCATGTGTACTGCCTCAGCTTCCAAAGGAATAAAGCTGAGAATCACTGGAAAGAAAAAAAGAGTTCTCATATTATGAGCAACAGAATTTGGTGCTATGAGTTGTAAATCAGGACCATTTATGCTCTGCCCAACAGTATGTTGTAACTCCTGAAGAACCAAAGGAAAAAAAAGAAAAAGAAAAAAAAAAGGACAAAAAACATATAGAGTATCCTCTATTTCTGGTGAATAAAAATATCTGCTACTCATCTGTCCTCTTCTTCTATGAAGATCAATTGGACTATTTGGTAAAAAAAAAAAAAAAAAAAAAAAAAAACAAAAAAAAAACCCTGAAAAAATCTTTCTTCAAAGATGACCTTGCTGGCAGCAGCAATGGTATTTTTGGATCAGCTCTCGATCAGAATGCCTTGTTCTGAAAACACAAGTTCTACTTCAAATATCTCTCTCTCCCCTTTTCCACTCCCCCCCTGCAAAAAAAAAAAAAAACTGAATTAAAAACTGAGCCAGAATTCACAAAATGAGTCATTTGGCTTTATCGAAGAATTAGACTGAGCACAAATGGCCTCACCAACAGAAACTACCTTCAAATATTTGAGCTGGATTCTCAAGGGAGTGACACTACAGAATAACGAAGTGCGTAGTGTATGCCTGCATGCTGTGTACAAAGTTTAAAATCCTGCTGTGTTGATGCACATTTAACATACCACATATTATTCAAATTCCCTCTTGATGACAGAATAACTGAAAGGCAACTTTGTTGTCAGAAATCTGAAAACCAACAATGTAATTTATTAGAGACAGTCTTTGCAACAATTAACTATACCTCTTTACAGAGTAGAAAAAGAACAGTATTGTAAGAATTGGCCAACAAACCATCAGCTTTTACTCTGATACCATTCTAACACTGTCTTCAAAAGCAGTCAGCATAGAAATCCCAGAAAAACAATTAATAATTATTCTGAAAATGTTTTGTTGTATTTCTGATTTATTTAATAAACAGAAGAGTTCCTTAATCTTGTGGTTAACAAGTATATGCTGTGTAAAGTTTACTGCCTTAAACACTTCAACAGCTCGTGGAGCATGACTTCTAGCTCCTCAGTGTGAACCCACAGCGGTGAAGTTCTTAAATTATAATCTACTAAAAGCAAAGGTTGAAAGTTTAATAAAGTTGGATTTTGTGGGGTTTGGGTTTTGTTTTTTTAAGTGAAACTACTCAAAACAACCAAAAAAAGTTTTTAAGTTGAGAAACCCCATCAAGCCTCAGACTTAGTGAAAGAGTATAGAAAATGCAACAGTGCCTGATGACATAAATGGAGTCAATAGACCAAGCACAGGGACACCATGACAAAGACACATGCAACTACAAGCCAAAGCACATCTGACTATTTTTAGTCCTCATGCCCTGGAAAGCAAGAATATTTCAGTGCTGCATGTGGGGGCTACCATCGGTTAAGACAACACTGTCAATTAAAATCAGTTACATCAGATTTATCTGGGAATTTTCTAATAATCTAGCTTTAGAAATAAATGTGACATACTGGAAATTGCTTTTCTTGCTGGTCTGAGGACTGCAAAACAGTAACAGTTTACCCAAAGAGAATCTGAGGCAGATCTTTGCTGACTTGCAGACCTCAATATATCAGAAAAGCCAAAAATTGCTGAAATATCATCTATTACATTAATTATTAATTGTTTCACTGTTATATTGTTCTTCCCTCTCCTGCAACTGTTTGATGTATCCATGGAGACTCTGCAGGGTAAGGACACTCTTTTCAGTGCAAGTGAACGCACTGTCGACTGCAATAAGATCATGATTTTGTATTGGATACTCTTAGTAATACTGCAAAGCAAGTTTAAAACAAGTCACAAAGAGCAATGATGTTTTCAAACTGGCTACACAAGGGGAAAACAGACCACTATTTATACAAGAACTGAAGTTGTCATAGCAATCATTTGTTGTATTGTTTTGTATTTTCAAATTCACTTTCTATGCATTGCAAATGCTTTCATATTATAAGTTGAGTTACAAAGATTTTGTTAAAGACATTTATATCCTTTTATCAATTCATACTGACATTGACAAAATCATCAACACCAGAGGTAGCTACTTGTCCACATTCAGGTAAAAGACAAAGAATTGAAAAAGGTAACTGAAATATGAGAACAACGTTTATAACACATTTATAATATTTTTTTTCAGTGCCATAATGGGAGATGACCAAGATAAAAAGAGATTATGGCCAATCGTGCAGGGAGGCAAAGAAATAATGCACTTGTGATAACGTATTGCTGTAATTGCCTGAATAATTTTACTTACTAGTGCTTGAGAAAAAACAAGTAACAACAATCCCACCCCATTATCTGACCTCTTGAAGAACCTAACCACATTCAAAAAGCTATAACTGGTTTTCACTCATTCAAAGGTGAATCTTTACAAACAGATGACAGTAATCAGCAATTACTTTTTTATCTACTGGTTTTTTTATCTACTGCTGTAATAAGTCAGAGGTTTTTGGATTTTGAGTTCTTTTTCCATACTTTATTTTAAAAACATCACTTCGGGCTTTTTTTTTGTTTCCAAGACAAGAATCTAAAATAGAAAGGCTCTGTATCAGAGAGGGACAAAAACCAGTCCCTTTTAGCTACTGTAGTTCTCTGAAGGTTTATACTAGAATAGATGACCACAGAACTGCATTTCTCCTTTGTCTTCTGGCTTTTATTTTGTAACTGGCTTTAATGCTGTTCTTGAAGGGAGTAGAAAACAAGGGCAGCCTTAAGCCTTGTAAGCTAAGGGAGTTTCCTGATAACATATACAAAGCTAAGTGATCTCCATCTTGAATTTCTGTCTTTAAGCATCTTCTAATATGTTGGTTTGCAGCTGTATTAAAACCTTGTCACTGCCTCCTGTATAACACTGAGGTCCTTCTGCCTCTTAAGCTTTAGTATACAAGAAATCTACAGAAGGCAAAATACTTTGTAGGCCAACACCACCCACTTGTTTTTTCATTCCCCTTCTCTCATGAAGGTGGGCTTGTGTGTCATCCTCACGGAATACTGAAAGAATGCATGGATTATTAAATTCAGTATTCAGCAATAAAATATTATTACTCCATGTGACATGATAGTACTCAGAAGCAGGATTATATTTTTAGATCTTATTAGAGAAAAATAGAAATCTAGTTTCCACTTCCAAAATTCTACGATCTAATTTAAGCAAAACTGACATTCTATGAGATACAGATTTATCTCAGCTGTACAGATTTATCTCATGCTTACAAATATCTGAAGGGTGGGTGTCAGGAGGATGGGGACAAACTCTTTTCAGTGGTGCCCAGTGACAGGACAAGGGGCAATGGGCACAAAATGAAGCAGAGAAAGTTCCGTCTGAACATGAGGAAGAATTTCTTCCCTCTGAGGGTGACAGAGCACTGGAACAGGCTGCCCAGGGAGACTGTGGATTCTCCTTCTCGGGAGATATTCAAGCCCCGCCTGGACAAGGTCCTCTGCAGCCTGCTGTAGGTGACCCTGCTTTGGCAGGGGGGTTGGACTAGATGACCCAAAGAGGTCCTTTCCAACCCCTACTGTTCTGTGATTCTGTAAAGCAGATACAGCTACCAAATGTGGGCACATGCAGTAGAACTGTACCCTCTTTACCAGTTTTTAAAGTACAACGTTTTTGCACTTACAGCTTTGGGTACTATTCCCACTTCTATCATTAGTTTGCTACATGCTGTTAAAAGAATATCTATATTTGTCTGTACTTCAATTTTCTAATCTGCAAAATTGTAATACTTGCTCACAAAAAAACCCCTATGACAATTCGTTAATTACTAAGCAGCAATTTTGAACTGTCAAAGTTTCAGCCATTACTGTACTGCATGCCAACAAAATATTTTCTATTTTGCTATAACCAGTTGGAGAATTTCAGAGTTGATTTTTTTAATGTCAAAAAAGCGATTAAAATAGTTCATAACAATGGCAGTATCAAAAGGCATTCCTTTTAGCAATGTAAATTCTACATAAACAAGAAATTCTTCACAGAAAACATCATGCTGTAGCCATATGCTTGTTACATATTGCATTCTTTCACTGAATGTTCAAGTGAGTATTTTTTTGAACATGCTTCTCTGACTATACCACCAACTCACAGCAAGGGGCACTACTAGAAACTGGGACGTTATGGGACAATTTGCCACCTGTTAGTGCTGTTGTAGTGGAATCAGTGGAAAGATTAAGGCCAGCCGACACGCATTTAAAAAAACACATTGGCAATTCTGAAAAGGCACAGCAATGACTTTTAGGAAGAGAACAAGTGATTTCAGGCTGTAAGAAGAGATGGGTGGAAAACAGCAGACTATATTTTAATTTAAACGTTGTTACAACAATGTGTAGAGAAACAAAATTAATCCCTCTCAGCTAAAGGCTAATAGATTGTTGTAGTCAAGATAACTGCTAGGTTACAGCATATATTACAACAGAGTATCTGATGAAAACACGAGCTAGAGTTCTTACTTCCTTTGTGATTTTTATCCTTTCCAAGCAGAGGGGGATTATTTTTGTTTATGAATTGTGCGGACTTAATGCCAAAAAAATAAACACACTGTTTCTCTAAACAAGGAATAATTTGGTTATCAATATAGAAAGCTTTTAATAATATCTTCCAAAAATTATATTAGACATAAATCAGAACCAGTAATTTTATTCAGTGACACTAAAAAGAAAACCCCAAGTTATTAAAATGCTAAATTTTGCAAGACATTTCTCTTACAAATTCGCCTAAGGTCCTTTAAGGAGAGAATGAAGTACAGCTTTAGATTCTATCAGAACACTCATTATTTTCTCCTTTAAAATGTCTACGAGAGCTATGTCAAATAGCTGTCCTCATGCATTCCGTATTGTTTTTCCTTAGGGCCATTATCAGTTGTGGTGAGGCTAGAGTATTCTGAATTGATTGAATTCTAGCTGCAATAGCAATTTATATACCCATTAATACCATCTCTTGAAAATCTGTGAGAGAGAAAGAAAACTATACACCTCGTTATTTAGCTTTTAAGCAAATAAAACTATAAAATAAACACATTCCTCATTTCCTCCTATTCAGATACGTGTCACTGAGTTAAGCATTTTGAAAACACAAAACCACTACCAGAGCCAACTTTAACTTTCCACTAGTGAAATTCCATGCCAGTGAACAATACTAATCTGAAATCAAACCTTTTCTTGAGTCAGCCTCTGTAGGTGAATCCCACATGACAACATTGCTGAAAACATGGTGAGCATGTACTGCTGAATTTTGCATATTCCATTTGCTAAGGAACTCAGGACAGCTGTTAATCCCACTTTTTCAATGACACTCTGGAAAGCATTAGGTGAGTAACGAGTAATTCTGCATAAAGCCTACAAAAGTGAAGAAAAAAAATTAATGGGATTATTATCTCAAGGAAAAAAAATGGAGAATAAAAACAGGTGGTGATTCTTCCGATAGTTTAGGAATATAGGAAATTCACACAGTTTCTTTTCTAAGACGAATATTAGCGGGAAAAGGCTACTTATTTTGAGAGACCTGGAATTCTTCTAAATATATTGCTATACTGTCCATGCAGCTGAAACTGGAATATTTGGTACACCAACATCAACATCAGACAGAGTCACATTACTCTTTCCCTCTAGAGGATAATAATGATGGAGCGGCACAGTCTGTGCTTGAGTCTTTTATCAGCACGGAACGTAGGTTGCATCAGATAACACTGTACTAAAAAGGAACACAGGCAGCAAAAAATACAGAGATGGCACACACCACCGAAATTCTGGTCACTCATAAAGGCAGGTGTCTGTCTTCTCTCTCTCTGCTCACAGACCATAATCTGATATGTAGTAGTTCACTATCTAAAGTCTATCTTTAGATCTAGACACTTGTTACATAACAGTGTATAGTATAGTACAGTAAACATGCAAACTATTTTCCAAATAGTTGATTTACAAACATCAGCAATTAAAACAAATTTAACACAAAATGCAGCTATTGATTGTGCTCTAGTGAAGTAAGCACAAATCTATTCATTGTACACTAACTTAGCTGTTTCGTAACAAACATTACCAAGTGACCTCCAGGGTGGATTCACCTCCTAGTCAACACAGCTTTTTCTTTTGATACCTCTGGAAATGCAACCTTCAAGATACTGTAACTGCTTTCGTTCTCTCCAGATAAAGAAAATAAGATTCTTCAGACATTCAAAATTTCATTTCTTTGGCTTGAATATAGTGCTAGGATATGAAACCAGATTGTGTCAATTAATTAATTCATGTGAGAATCTGAATCAGTTTTAGGGAAAAACTTTCAAAGTGACTTTCTTCTGTGAGAAGTAGGCAATATTACCACAGCCACATTTAGAAACTGCTGTTTACTTGGTGTGCATTCAATAGTGAGGTCTCATTTAAGAGAAACTATAGTCAATTACACCCACAGAATACTATAATCAGAGAAAAGCTTTCCAGGTAAGGACCTCATAAAGTGCCCAGTTCACCAGTATCCTTAGAAACACTACTCAAAATGTGCTACAAAAAAAAGGAAGGAATAAAAGACAAATCAAGAACTTACGATTTTTAAACAGACATTTAATTGACACTGTTCATCTACTCTGCTCCTGTTCTTCCTTGTCCTTTCTGGTGCAGAAACCTTCCTTGTCCACTCTGGTGCAGAGTGGTTTGGGTTGGAAGGGACCTTTAGAGGTCATCTAAGCTCAGCTACCCTGTAGTGAGCAGGGACATCTTCAACCAGACCAGGTTTCTCAGAGCCCCGTCCAGCCTGGCCTGAAATGTTTCCAGGGATGGGGCATCCACCACTTCTCTGGGCAACCTCTTCCACTGTTTCACCACCCTCATGGTAAAAAACATCTTCCTTATATCCAGTCTAAACCTGCCCTCCCTTACTTTAAAGCCATTAGCCCTCATCCTATTGCAATAAGCCCTGCCGAAAATATTTTCCCCATCTTTCCTACAGGCCCCCTTCAGGTACTGGAAGGCTGCTATAAGGTCTCCCCGGAGCCTTCTCTTCTCCAAGCAGAACAGCCCCAACTCTCTCAGCCTTTCCTCATAGGAGAGGTGCTCCAGCCCTCGGATCATCTTTGTGGCCCTCCTCTAGACCTGCTCCAACAGCTCCATGTCCTTCTTGTGCTGGGGGCTCCAGAGCTGGACACAGGACTCCAGGTGGGGTCTCACCAGAGCAGAGTAGAGGGGCAGAATCACCTCCCTCAACCTGCTGGCCATGCTTCTCTTGACGCCACCGATGCAGTCATGCCATCATAGAAAGCCACTAGGTTGGTCAGGTAGGACTTGCCCTTGGTGAAGCCATGCTGTCTGCCTCGAATCACCTCCCTGTCTTCCATGTGCCTCAGCATACCTTCTAGAAGGATCTGTTCCATGATCTTCCCAGGCACAGAGGGGAAGCTGACAAGTCGGTAGTTCCCAGGGGTCCTCCTTTCTACCCTTTCTAAAATTGGGCACGATGTTTCCCTTTTTCCAGTCACCAGGGACTTCATCTGACCACCACAACTTTTCAAATATCATGGAGAGTGGCTTGGGAATGACACCAGTCCATCCCCTCAGGACTCTGGATGCATCTGGTCAGGTCCCATAGACTTCTGTATGTTCAGTTTCCTCAGGTGGTCACAAACTTGATCTTCTCTTAAAGCGGGAGGGACTTTGCTCCCCCAGTCCCTATCTCGTGGTTCGTCCATTGGAGAAGTGTGCGAAGAGAGGTTGCCAGCGAAGACTGCAGCAAAAAAGTTGCTGAATACCTCAGCCTTCTGCTCGTCCTTTGTCACCAGTCTTGTTCATCAATGGGGTACATCATCTTTGACCTTCCTTTTCTGGCTGTAGAAGCCCTTATTGTTATTCTTAGCATCCCTTGCCAAGTTCAGCTCCAACTGCACCTTGGTCTTCCTGATCCCATCCCCACACAACCTTGCAGCATCCCTATACTCTTCCCGGGATATCTGTCCCTGCTTCCATTGTCTATGCATTTCCTTCTTGCCTTTTTGTTTGTCAGCAAATCTTTACTCAGCCATGCCGCTCTCTTGCCTTCCTTTCCTGATTTCTTACACCTGGGGATCAAGAGCTCTTGCGCTCTATGGAAAGTGTCCTTAAAGATCTGCCAGCTCTGTTCTGCTCCCCTGTCCCTAAGGGCAGTTTCCCAGGGGATCCTACTGTCTAACTCCTTGAACAGCTGGAAGTTTGCTTTCCTAAAATTCAGGGTTGTGTCGTCTATTGACTGCAGCCTTTAGTTGTTTTTCTTCCTCCCTACCTCCCTTTTAAAACACGGACATTCAATCTCCCTGAAGGTAAGAGAGAAAGCCTGAAGAAAGGAAGACCTTCCCTTCGTTGAGAAGGATTGGGTTAGAGATCGTTTAAGTAAACTGGACGCCCATATGGGCCCCGATGGAATGCACCCATGAGTGCTGAGGGAGCTGGTAGATGTCATTGCTGAGCCACTGGTGATGGAGGATACAGAGAATGCAGAGTTACTGAATGCCTTCTTTGCTTCAGTCTTCAGTGCCAAGGCAGGCCCTCAGGAATCCCAGGCCCTGGAGGTAAGAGAAGAAGCCTGCAGAAAGGATGACCTTCCCTTGGTCGAAGAGGACTATGTGAGAGATCACTTAGGCAATCTGGATGCCCACAAATCCATGGGCCCCAATGGAATGCACCCACGAGTGCTGAGGGAGCTGGCAGATATCATTGCTGAGCCACACTCCACCATCTTTGAAAGGTCCTGGAAGACAGGAGAGATGCCCGAGGACTAGAGGAAAGTCATTGTCACTCGAATCGTCAAAAAGGGCAAGAAGGAGGACACAGGGAACTACAGGCCGGTCAGCCTCACTTCCATCCCGGGAAAGATGATGGAGCAGCTCATTCTAGAGGCCATCATCAAGCAAGTGGAGGAAAAGAAGGTTGTCAGGAGTCATCAGCATGAATTCACCAAGGGGAAATCATGCTTGACCAGTCTGATAGCTTTCTATGATGGCATGACTGGCTGAGTAGATGAGAGGAGAGCAGTGGAGGTTGTCTGCCTTCACTTCAGCAAGGCTTTTGACATTGTCTCCCGTAACATCCCCATAAGCAAGCTCAGGAAGTATGGGCTGGATGAGTGGTCAGTGAGGTGGATTGAGAACTGCCTGAATGGCAGAACTCAGAGGGTTGTCATCAGCGGCGTGGAGTCTAGTTGGAGCCCTGTAACTAGTGGTGTCCCTCAGGGGTCAGTACTGGGCCCAGTCTTGTTCAACTTCTTCATCAACGACCTGGATGAAGAGTTAGAATGTACCCTCAGCAAGTTTGCTGACGACACCAAACTGGGAGGTGTGGTAGATACACCAGAAGGCTGTGCTGCCATTCAGCGTGACCTGGATAGGCTGGAGAGCTGGGCAGAGAGGAACCTGATGAGGTTCAACAAGGGCAAGTGCAGGGTCCTGCACCTGGGGAGGAACAACCTCATGCACCAGTACAGGCTTGGGGTGGACCTGCTGGAGAGCAGCTCTGCGGAGAGGGACCTGGGTGTCCTGGTGGACGACAGGTTAACCATGAGCCAGCAGTGTGCCCTGGCTGCCAAGAAAGCCAATGGGATCCTGGGGTGCATCAAGAAGAGTGTGGCCAGCAGGACAAGGGAGGTTCTCCTTCCCCTCTACACTACCCTGGTGAGGCCTAAGAGAAGGCTGAGAGGGGATGTTATAAATGCTTATAAATATCTTAAGGGTGGGTGTCAGGAGGATGGGACCAAGCTCTTTTCAGTAGTGCCCAGCGACAGGACAAGGGGGCAACAGGCACAAACTGAAGCAGAGGAAGTTCCACCTGAACATGAGGAAGAACTTCTTCCCTCTGAGGGTGACAGAGCACTGGAATAGGTTGCCCAGAGGGCCTGTGGATTCTCCTTCTCTGGAGATATTAAAAACCTTCCTGGATGGGGTCCTGTGCAGCCTGCTCTGGGTGACCCTGCTTTGGCAGGAAAAAATTGGCAGGGGGGTTGGACTAGATGATCCACAGAGGGCCCTTCCAACCCCTACCATTCTGTGATCCTTACCAGTCCCTTCCAACTTTAGATATTCTATGATTCTCTGATCATCTATGTCCTATTCATTGCCTTCTGCTCTTACATGCCATACTGTGGCTGTATAACATTCACCTTTTCAGGAGGTACTCCATGACTCTTTAAAGCTTGAGAATGAATGCATTCATGTATCTGCCATACCCAAGTCTCTGAAAGAAACTATTCAGCACCAACTAGTTAAGGAAAGAAAAAAAAAAAAGATTGTGTTGAGCATTCCCAAATTAGTTTCCACTTCAGTGGCTTATGTTTTGTTACTCCTCCGCCAGCAGAAAAAGCTCTTAGAAACAAATTTTTTTTTTTAATTTAAAAAAATTTCAGTATACTGTAAAGAAAATATTCTTCCTGCTGCTAAGCTTGTCAGAATGTCACTTTGACATCTTGCAGAATTATTTCTTCTCTGAGTCTAGCAAAATGATAAAAAGATATACAGCTTTCCTACAGGCAAAATCTGTGATATTTACCTGAGGCATGTTGGACTCTAAAGTGAGCAAAAATACTGAGACACAGTCCCTGTGTGCCACCTCTGACAGGCAGGAGAAGGTAAAGTGTCATTTCTTGACCCCAGAGACTGAAGACAGAGAATCTTCTTGATATATTTTTACTACTGATTGAAATAATCAGAAGTAAAATTCCATAGTGCCTTACTGCTGATATACTTCGCAGACAGCCTGCTAGCTCTAGGTAAATATATGACACATGTACTTGTTAACAGAAATGTATTTTTACATGTGAATACAGATGTCAGTCAAGAATAAATTCTTCAGGTTATATTCAAACAAGGCAGGAATGACTGCATAATAAAATAAAATAAGACATTGATGACCTCGATTTATCTGGTCATGCAGAATAAAAATGCCTATATATCCATAGCAACAATTTAATGAATGTAGAAATGTACAGTACAATATAGCTGGAGAACACATTAGTGCTTTACTTGAAAAATTAGCATGTCGCTGAAATCTCTATACACTTCAGTTGATAAAATATCTGCCATTGCTAGATTTAAATATTGACTGGCTATTTTTTCCTCACGTTAAGATTACACACCCAAGTACCACAGCAGTATTAATACATAGCCATGATTTATATCAGGCATTGAGTAATAAATCCAACAAATTAGTTCACCTTCTTCTTACTTCAGCGTTTCACTAGAAAGCAGCAGAAGGATTAAAGCACGACCTTAGTGTATCCAACTTTAGAAGCTTCCTTGTCCAATTCACTTCATATGCAGTACAAAATAATTAAACCTCAGATTTCTGATAAATGAATAATTCTTGATAAATGAGTTTTGATAAATCAGCTACACTGATAGCAATAATTTCCATGAAGACCAAAAAAACAAGAAACAAAGCAGTTGGACCAGGGATGCAGAAGAGTAAATTTCTTTTGCTCTTGCAGCCCCCCTCACTGCTGCTTTCACTCAAAGCTCCCCAACACGTTAGTCTGGAGCAAGCCCTTTCTCCAGCATGACTAAAACCTCAGTAACGACCCAAGGGAAAGGTAGGATCTCCAGTAAGCCTACTGCCCTCACAGGAAAAAAAAAAGTTAGTTGGGAACAGTTTTTTTTTCCTGCTATTGTCCATGTGTACATTTATACCACAGATTTGCACAAGATCTTGAAAAAATTTTTGCCTCAGCAGAAACTCCTTGTGCACACACAAATTGGTCATACCTTTAAAACACTGGCCTTGACACTAAAGCACACGCTGCTAAGGAACTTTGACAGAATGATAAAAAGCCATCTTTCTTACTTAGATTGACAACTGCCATTGAAAGAATGTCCCACAAATCAACTGAGTTTCTCTAGGGAATCCTGGTAATTGCAGCTATCACAACCTCCTGAACCGCACGGCTTTTGTCCTAACATATGTCATCTATAAGAGGGCTTCTAGAGTAGTTCTTGAGGACTGATCAGCTTTGACAACTAAGTCTTTAAATTTTCATTATAAAGGGAAGAAAAAAAAAATCAGGAAGTAAGAGCTTGGCAAAAACAGTATCATTACAAGTCTTGTGAGTGCCAACCCAGGAGTGCCAGATGATTCAGTTTTAAACTACTGTATAAATACAGTAACTTATTACATGTCACTGCATTTGACGTCGCTGGTTGAGCAAGAAGCCCACATAGATCAATCAGGTTGGTCTATCACAGCTGCAGTGACAAGAGGTGAAGGAACCGAGGAACTAAAAAATGCTATGATACTTTCAGTCTCCTTATTTGGAAGAGACCACAAAAATGCCAGCAGTATTCGACTGAACTGAGCAATTAAAAAAGTCTCATTGCCTAGTAAGTAGTGGTAGTTCACCTCAACCTTACCACCTTGGGAGGCTCGAATAATCTGGATCTCCAAAGAGGCTGAGGATTAAGTGGGACAAACAACAACCCTCTCTTCTCATAATCGCTAGAAACCTCATCCAAGGGAAAGTGTGCAAAACCATATGGCACTAATGATACTAACCTCTGAGCTACAAGAGGCTACAAAAGGCCTTAGTGAGTCTGCACTGATGGCAAGCATACTCTTGAGAATCAGAAGTGTAACTGCTGCATCTTACTGAGCAGAAAAAAACCCCTCTTGCCTACCTCAAGCACACTATACTGTCCAAGAAGAAACTGACTTTTCAAGAAGGTTAAAAAAAAAAAAACCCACTGACATTTCCTCTGGTGATCTTTCTTTGCTCAGTGTCTGAATGCAGTCCAGTCAGACTGTGGCACACAAAAACGGTGTAACTGTCCAGCTGGCCCCTACAAGTGGAGCAGCTCCGTTGTAGAGTCAAGGAAATAGTAAATGCTGATGCAAAGTTCTCCAAGTGGATAGGAAAGAAATAGGAGGAAAACTTCAGGGTAAGTTGAAACAGATAAAAGTAAAGAGCTATGATGTAGTAGCAAGCAAATAACTGCCCAGTCTAATGATTGACAAAAACTGAAAGTACAAGGTACAAAACATCCCTTATGGCAAAAGCAGTGGTAGGAGAGAGGATTCAGCAGACTTGCTTAAATACTCCTTAAGTAAAGGAAATAACTCTAGTTTCCAGTCATTTACCATATACACAGTCATGATGTAAGCATAAAACTCACAGATCAAACGGGTAAATTCTCAGAATGAGCCTTTCTCAAAAAGCAGCCTAGCAGCCAGACTCCGAAGCAGGCTTAAGCTATAAATGCTGTGTATAAAGATTACACATATATTTTACATTTTTAGAGACTGACAATCCTCTACCCATAAAAGTTCTAAGACTAAGTTTTTGCAAAGAATTTCAGGTGCCACAGAATAAAGGCTTCTGTGACATGTATTTTACTAAATAAACCTACTGTTCTATAAGGTCTTCACCTTTTCCCAGTACTGGAAAATTTATTTCCCAGGCAAGACTCTGCCACAAGTACACGCTGAGGTAAGTGTTTAATAAATACATATATTTTTTAAAATTACAAATTTTAAAAAATTATACATTTATTCTATCATTCATCTCTTCAGCCACACTTCGGATATATTCCTAATTCTCTCTCTTTTATTACCTCAATGCTAGATGTGTCTAAGTGCATAATGCTGCTGCAGCAACATTACTATTTTCCATCTGGGAAGCCAACAATAAACTCCTTAGTGAGCCTGAGCTCTACTCAGGAAACGAGCATCCAGTTATCGCTCTTCATTTAAAATGAAGTCAACTTATTGTTCAATTCGAAAATACTGCCTGTATTGGTGGGTAAGGCTTTCATTTTGTCAACAAGAGATACAGTTAAACTCACAGCCCTGCTTAGTATTTTCTTTTGCTTGCATGTCACAGCTCTGTTTGTCTTGTTATTCTCCTATGTGAACTTACAAATTCAGGGCAAAGACTAGCCCTGACAATTTTATAGAAAGTAACATGATGATTTCAAATAAGTCTTCTATTCTAAGCAAGTCTGCGATAAAAAGAATAAACACTTTCCATGTAAAACATCATACAAAAAAAATATTCAATTTTGCAAGAATTTAACTGATTCTTTGAAAGATTAAACTTTTCAAACACAGCTCTTGATCACTGGCATAATAAAATACATGTTCCAGAAAATGATGAATCGCAAGGACTTTTCATAAGCGCTGGACTGTAATATGTGCACTTTACAATTTCAGAAAAGTTGTAAATATATTTTAATGTAATCTGAAATACAAATACATATACATACAGAAAACATGCTCAAAAACATCTCAGTTTCAATTCAGAATGCTTTTCAAAATAAACCCCAAAACATTTCTGTATCACAAAAGGAAATTCCTTACCGAAACAGCAGTTATTTTCAAAGAATCTACTGTAGAATGTGTGAAAAGGTACCACAAGACAGGTCCAGTTTCTCCCGTAATAAAACCTTGTGCATGGCAAGAGAGAGTAGTGCAAACATTTTCAATTATCTTTGCTGCCAAATGGTTCACTATCCGGTCTTCCTATAGGAAGGAGAGTAAAGGAAAACTCACATGCAAATGTTTGTAACCTTCTGAGTTCTTTTTAAACTACTCCATATGTCCATGTCTTACTCCATGTACATTGTCTTAATGTGGTTTCTTAATTTTACTTGATATTTGCCACAGTAATTTCACAGGAAACCTCACCTCATGACAAAGTTATGTTTACAGATCCTACTTCCTCCCACTTTCTCTTCTACTGCAAAGACCATTTAATACAAGTATAATCTAATACAAAAATCCTTCAGCTCCAAATGATCACTCCAAATTAAATGTAGTCACTAGAAAATGAAAAGATTTTGTACAGTTGGGGTGTGCCATGACCAGTGCTTTACAAATTAATGTCTATGTATCAAAACCCATCACTACAACAGGTTCCAAATAGCAAGATTATGAGATATACATTTACATTAGGAAAAATAAAATTAATTACATTAAACCTCTTTATTCAGAGGAGCCAACAAACCTCTAGGATAAAAAAAAAGCCTTCTTGCAAGTCAAGTTATTCAATAATCCCCTTCTGATCCTCTTCTGAAGCAGATGATCCTGATCAACGGTGAAGATAAACCATTGGGTCTTCTTTACCACATCAATTCTTAAATGTCCCTAAGGGATTCTGAATCCTTCATATTTTTAATACTAATCAAATAATTTTATCTGCATAGCCATTTGCATAAAGCCACTGTACATGTAGCTTTAATATCTACATAACATTATTCATGCCACAATGTCTCCATGGAATAAAAAACATCATGTCAGAATAATCACGAGCCATCAGCACATCATGAACATCACAGTGCAGCAGTTTTCTCAAGAAAACTGCTACTGACTCCAATGGAAGCTTAACTTAATCCAGATCACTTAAAAGCAGAGTCTGTACTTTCTGTCTCTTTGTTCTCCCCCCTCACCTCTCTAGTTTTTTGTTTTTTGTTTTTTTTTTTTACTCTGCTTTCCCTTAAAAGCAGAGTCCTTACCTTAACAGAACTGGAAGATTCATTGCTGGTGGTTTTTTGGCTGCATGTTGCCTCACCTTAGCTCATACTTTAACTATAGGTAAGTGAAGTCTTTCAATAATGTCTTAAATGGCATTCCCGAGTTCAGCAAGAGTGGATTTTAATAGAGGAAAGACAAGCAATTTAATTTGTCAAGTCTACCTCATAGCCTGGCTTCACAAATAATTCATCATAATATCTAACTGACTTCTTTCTTAAACTAATCTCCACATAAAATCCACTAACATTTGAATTTCTGGCATTTATCTTTACAATTGGAACCACCAACAACTGTGAGCAATGGTGATAAAACTTCTCAGCAAGCACTACAAAACCCTTCCAGAAGGGGAGAACTTATACTTCATTAAAAATATATTCAATATCCACTTTTCCTTCTACTGTCTATAGGTATTCTAAAATATAGTCACTGATATAGAAATATTTGGAAACTCTACTATAATGCTGTTAAATAAAGAAAGCTGATTTCATCATTTTATGCTAATTCTTCATGTTCTCCCAAAGAACTGCAGCTCTACTCAAAATACTTAAAAGAAATACCAAAGCCAATTCCCATCTAAACCAGTTACACTCTTTTATAAAACTATTGATTTCTGCGGTCTTCCTTCTGATTTACAGCCATCAAATCAAAGAAAATCTAGGTTTCTCTGGTTTTAGTTTTTATTACTGCAAGTATTGTATAATTTTGATCTATTAAAGACATATACACAAATACACATATATGTTTACCAAAATTCAGTTTCTCAAAACAAAACTTTTTATAATCTTAGTTTTAAATTTTTTTCTGTGAATTATGCTTCTGAATTTCAGTCTATTTTTTTAGTACAGTTAAGGTAGAAATACATAGATTTATCAAACTGACTATATGCACTTACAATCAAATCCGTAATTGAAACATTAATAGTCAAGTTAAATCTGTCATATATTAAGTGATTTACTAGGAATGCCAATTTGGACTCCACTTAATAAAGAAACACTTAATAAATGCACTGTAATCCCATTAATAAATCATAATCAAAGCATTATGCAGTGCATAATAGTTATTACGAATACTAACAAATATCCAGATGCAATAACAGCTTTTCTTTGCAAAATTTCGTGCTGAAGCTGTGTTCTATTTCCTTTGAGCCACTGATGAGATGAATTATGCCCTGTGCCAGGTATTCCCGCTACTTTGGCTAGAAAAAGGTCATGTACCATCACAGTGCTCTAAAAATTCAATGAGGCTGTCAGAGTAATTCCATTTGCTGCCACCTGAGACTTTCCACCTCAGCTGCTCTGGGATCTATTCCTGAGCACTGTCTAAGCAACAAGACTCATACCATTTTCTACTTAATTAGCTCTCTGGAAGGGAAGCCTGACCTAAACTAATATTTGTTCTCTTAACTAAAGGAGTCATCCAGTCATGTTACCAGCACATAAGCTACGTGAGTGAACAGATATGGATCTTCAAGATATGAATAAAGCATTTCCATATAACAGTTAACCTCTGTCCATATCATGAACTGCATCAAATGTAAATCTATGAATAGAAATGTATCACAAAGAAGCCCATACTCTATTTTCACTGGGTTTAGATTTCAACTAGTTTTATAAATTGCACTTAAATTTTCTAATTTTCAGTCACATTGAACACTTACAGATGTATCTGTTTCCAGTTAAAATCATGGCTGCTTAGTGAAAGTGAGCCCTAAGTGAGAAAGCAAATATCAAAAGGGTAAATAGATGCAAACTGCCAAAAGAGAACTACTTTAACCAACTCTTTCTATTCCATCTGTAGGGCGAAAAAAATGCAAATCAAAGTCACCAAAGCATCTACTTTCATTTTTTGAAACAACTGAATCTAATGGATATTTTATTGACTGTTAAAAACTTCACTGTGGACTGGAAGTTTTGGAGGCACTGAAGACACAGTTACTATGCTAACCAGCATGCTACCTAAAAAACCCATGATTTCATTTAAAAGTTAAGATAAAATATTTAATGATCTTTTTATATTATACTGTGTACAGATACATACACTTGAGTAAAAGCATAATACTGATAAAGAAACACTGGAAAAGCTGAAAGATTCAGGAAGTAGTTTAGAATAATGATGGAATACAGTGCTAACTTCCATACACCACTTCCTTTAATCTAAAAAGAAAATCAAATCTATAGAGAAAATAAAAACAAACAACAAACATAACTTAATGAAGTAAAGCTGTATCATCATCTTAAACTTTCACAATTATAAGAATTAAATCTTAATTTGGCACCAATTTGCAATATAAGGCCTTCACAGAGAAGGAGGAATATGGGGAAGTAAAAATTTTAAACACCTTTTGTGGAAAAAATTCTAAAAATTCTGTCAGTAAACCACAGAACTGATATCTAAAGAAGCAATTAAAGTGATAATGTATATGATTCAGATCATTACTTTTATACTGTACGCAGTTCTGTCAGTAAGCTAAAAAACTGATGTCTAAAGAAGAAATTGAAGAAGTAATGTGTATGATTCAGACTACTGCTTTTATGCTATAGGTAATTCTGTCAGTAAACTAGAAAACTGATACCTAAAGAAGGAATAAAAGTGAGAATATATATGATTCAGACTATGACTTTTATATTGTAGGCTGTCCTATACTTTCTGAGGAAATTGTTATGATTTTATTCTTCTATCCTCCAAATTCACTGTAAAGGAACTGTTCTAGCTAAGAATATACATTATAAAACATACTGCCTTATATTACATATTGTCAATTATTTCTTAAATTTATCTTTTCTTATTACAATTCCTCATCAGTTCAGAAGCAAAACTGTAAGACTTACATCTTGCTCCCTCAAAGGAAGAAGTCCATATGAAAGAGGGAAATGTGTACTATATAGCTTACTGCCAAGTTCCAATTTATTAAAAATCTTGCTTACATAGTACCTTCCACATCCAAGAGACTGAACCAGATGATCTTCAAGGTCCCTTCCAACCCAAACCATTCTATGATTCTATGATTCACTATTGCTGATTCAAACACATTCTCCAGGTGCCATGCTTTAAAATGAGAGGATTATGCACATTCTGAAAGCCAGGTACAGCTTTAGCTATAGCTGTAGATATTTCTTTGTCCATGCAAAGATATCACCTATATATAACCTTTTCCTGGTTCTATGAAGTTATTAATACAATTGTATATAATTGTGTACCTTATATTTGTATATCATTTGTAATTGGGGGCGGGGAAGCCACAACACGTTAGAGCCAGTGTATTAGGTTAGCAGCAAAGAGCACCTCAAAAACTGGAGCGGTCTGAAAAGCAACAAGAAGGGGCTCAATTGGTCCACAATTGAGTTCGCTCCTGAATGAAGTGGGCCAAAGCACCCTGGTCTAGTGGAAGGTGTCCCTGCCCATGGCAGGGGAGTTGAAACTAGATGATCTTTAAGGTCTCTTCCAACCCAAACCATTCTATGATTCTGTGATTCAAAGGACACAGAAAGGCTCAGGAGGTCAGTGCCTCCTCTGCCTCAGTCTTTACTGATCTCAGGCCTTCCATGCCCATGTACCAGATAGCAAAATCTGGGGAGTGAAGTATACCTACAGAACAGGAAGACAGATGTAGGGGACACTTAAGCAAACTGGGCATGCCTAAATCCATTGAACCAGAAAGGTTGCAACCAAACATGCTGAGGAATCCAGTCAGCATTGTTGTGAGGGAGCACACACCTTCAAAAGTTTGGGGTGATCAAGACATACTCCTGTTGACTGCGGGCAGGGTCAAAGAGCATACCCACTTTCAAAAGAGCAAGAAGAGGAATTCCTAACTCTGTCCCTAAAATACTACAGAGCTAATTTTCCTGGAAGCTATTTGCAAATACATGAAGGCTAAGAAGCCTGGTAACAGAACAGATTTATCAAGAGCAAAACCCATCTGACCAGTGTGACAAGCTTCAGTTACAAGATCACTGGCTCAGTGGACTAACACAGAGCAATGGGTTTAATTTACTTCAGCTTTAACAAGGTTTTCTAGATGGTTTCCTATACCTAACCAAACAGTAAAGACCTGGACCTAAGTGAACTACCAGGTACGTAAAAAGCTGGTTGGACCACCACGCTTAAAGGGTGGTGATCAGCAGTGCAAAGACCAACTGCAGGAGCTGGGGCTATCAAGTGTCAATATTGGGGCCAAAACTGTTAATCATAGCATATTCACAGATGACACAAGCTTGGAGGAGCAAGTGGTTGAATTAATGGAAGGTTAGGCCAGCACACAAAGGGATTTTAGGCTGGAGAAATGGGAATACAGTCACCTCCTGAAAGTCATAAAACTCAAATGTAAAGTCTTACATCCAGGATGCAGTAAGTCCCACAAAGCAGTGGGGCAGAGAAGGACCTGGAGATGCAACAGAACAGACTGAACACGAATCAGCAGTGCTCCCTTGTGGCAACCACCATTAACTGCATTCTAGGCTGCATACATACCAGTGCAGCCAGCTGGTGAAGGTGTTTCTTCACTTCTGTTCTGAAATATGATACTATCTGGCCTACTGTGTCCCAGTTTAGTTCCTCATTGTAAGGCAGACTTTGACATATTGCAGTTAGTCCAGAGGAGGGCCACCAAGATGACTGAAGGCCAGGAGCACACGATGATTAAGGATATGCTAAGAGATAACACAAATTTTTGTGTAATTTTTGCTGCTGAAGATTGTGAGATCTACTTTATCATGAAATAATGTAATAGACTGAAGAGGTTGATATAATATCATCCTCGATGCATCTACTTCAGTAATCCCATTCTTACAAGTTTCAAAACAAATATGCAAAAGCAAAACCATAAATTGAATGTAATACTTTAAAGTCTTTCTCTCCCTGTTTTTCCATCTCCACCCCTACACCTAAAACTTCTGGCAGAAAAACTAATTTTATATCTGATTATTCTTTCCTTAAAAAAATATCTCTTGAAAACAGATGTCTAACAATAATCTGATTTTAACCATCTAGCTTTAGATGCTGCAACATAACTTTCCAAGAAAGATGGGTGGCTGGTAAACTTACAGAGGATAAGAAGAGGATCGCTACAAGAGTGGAGGAACAAACTAGCAAAAGAAATTGTAAAAGTTAGTAATAGTGGGTGCTCAGTTTCTCTCTCCATTTCCACATGTTGTGAAGTACTTTACATATTTATGGATATTTTTGATTCTTCATATGGTACCGTTCTGGAAAGCTGAGGCTGCTACAACTGAGACAGAGCAATTTGTATTAGTGTATTGGCACTGTACTTACATAAACAAGCATGAATATTTAAAACTCCATTACAAACCTCGAGCATCTTCACAAACACAAACTGCAGAAATGCTCAGCTGTGCTTGGTTAGCCTAGACATAACTTTAGATTTATGCTTAATTAAATTTAATTCAAACTATTGCATGGGAAAATGATTTCTATTTTGTGAGGCTTTTTCAAGAAAAACATATCATGATAAACTATTAAGAAAAATTTCAGGACTAAGAAGTGATTTTATTCTATAGGAATAAATTAGTGTCTTACGAATGTCTCAGTTTAGTTTCTCTACACCAAATATCCAGAAATAGCAAGTCTTCCATCACTAAATTTATAATTCAATAGCTTCTCACTAATGTGCCTTAGAATGACATCTTACTCTAATTACGAGCTGGAAATAGTCCACAATGCAAACACAGCTGTGTGTGCTTGATCACCTGAAGGTTTGCAGATATTAAAACGCATCTAGACTCTTCCTCTATTAATCACAATCTGTAGGCAATAAAGATCTCAAAGAAAGGAGAAAAAAGGTATTCTCTTGCTTTCTCCTCTCCAGCAAACCTCCAGCATGTTTTCTGCCTTGAGCTTTGCCTTGGGCAAAATAAAGTCAAGTGGTCTCATACAAACAGTAAATGTAAACCCTCTACTCAATTCTTTTTCATTTTACAAATTGGAACTATATGCATGTTTTGCTTTTCTTCTAGCACAGCTAAGTCATACAGCATAGCACACGTACAAGAACAAAACTAATTACTACCTTTTGGCCTCAAAAACATGCTAACAACCCAGTAGGATAACAATGCAGTTTTCAAAAACCTTGTATCAGCCACTTCAAAACAGAAAGTAAATCTTGCTCAAAAAATTTATGAAATATGTATGAAAACCAAATTGCAAGAGGACAGTACAAACTGTCAGAACATTTCTCAAAGGAAAGCCACAGCATTAACAAATTCCACATTTATTAACAGTAATTTATATTTACTATCCCATTTCCAAAAAGCAAGCACAGCAATACATAAATGTCGAATGTACAGAGAAAAACACTGCCTTTTTACATTAATCTCCTGCTTAGGTCATGGTCTTATCATGATTATTTAAATTCAAGAGCAATATTCGGTTGACAAGGTACTGCAGTGCTGCAGGCTACAATCCTCACACAATGCCAAAAGGGTTATTACAGTGGAGAAACTCTACCAACGACAATGAAAGAGGCTTACCCCTTCCCGAAGACACCTCATTAGCACAGTGTAAGCAGCTGAGGGAACAACCCAGCATTCTCTAGAGTGCTCCCTTTTTTCCTCCTGCAATGAAGCCAACGGCACACATTATTAAATCAAAAAAATCACAGTAATCTCAGTCAGATAAAAAAATGGGTAACTAACTCTTAATAAGGATCATATTATACACATTTCAAATTAACATATGCTAGAAAATATATTAAATTCTAGGGCAGTATTACTAGTTAATGTTATTTCATACGCATCACAGAAATTTATATTTTATTACCTTATTTAAATAGTCTCCAAAATCTGTAACAGAATTTGTCCTAGTTTTTCTGCGTTTCATCAATTCCTTCTAATTCACACACACACAAAATTATTCTTGCATTCCTCTCAATCATTTTGATTATGTCAAAAAGAGACAACTGATTATTAAGAGTAGTAATGCTTCTCTTTAAATGTGATTTAATTATACCAAACAAAAATTATTCCTGTCTGGCAACCTAAAAAATGTAAAATTACTCTGGAAAAAAAAAATTCATAGCCATACAAGGAGATCTAAAGTGTTTAATAAAACTTACTGTATGGTGTAGCCTTCAGTACTCATCAACACTATTTCAAGATCCTTATGTATATTTCCTTGAAATCACCCTTTTAGAGAGGCTAATTCACTGCTAGCTGAATCGGGGATTTGATTCTTCCATTAGAAGTTAATGAACTCCACCTCCCCCACCCGCCATAGCAGCCTACTGTAAAACTTCAAGTTAAAAGAGGACACTTGGATATCATTAAGATTTAACTAAAACAACCTCCATATCTAGGCTAGTAACACATATATATTAGCAACTAGAAAAAAAAAGCCTCTTTTGGGAAAAAGTAAGAAATAATAGGCAGTGGATGGTGTGAAGATGATAGGCACTGAAATCAATGTGCAGCTTGTCTTAATACATAGAGAAAGGATGACAGGCAACAATTTCTTCAGAAATTATATCTCTTGAGCTCTACTGATTTTATTAGCGAATTATTTTTAGCATTCTAATTAACTGTTTATAATAAAGGCATAGGATGGGCAAGGGGGGGGTAACAATGCAGAAACAAATGATACTTTCTGAATTTCCTGGTTTCTAAGTGGCCTATACTAATTCAACATATATGATGTGATAATTAAATTAAAGCATGGCACATTAGCAGGGAAGACTATTACTGAACTACCTAGGAAAATTCATTTTCCTTCTTTATTGAAAAATAAATCAAAATTTTATTTGCAACATGTATCAATAGAGAAAATAAGCTTGTTAAGTCTCCCAATTTTTCAAGCTTTATTTCTGTTAACTTTGTATTAGGAGGTATGGAACTGTTTTCATTGGAAGTAATTTACAGACAATAATAATACAAGTGGTTTGACATCCAACAGAGACATTAGATCTACTACATTCCACCTCCTTCATCTTATCTGACTAACAACATGTTGACATCTAATCACAGTTTGCCTTCCAAGTCTTAGTGTGTAAGTTTAAGAAAATGCAGCCCAAGTTTCAAAGAAAAATTGTAGGTTACTTTCTAACAGTCAAAAGTGGAATCTTCTCCACCTGGAAAAAGGCAGGACAAGATGAGGAGTAAAGACAGAGTTAAAATGACAGCCTATGTTGGAAGTGGCATGGGTCTGTTTCTCCTTTTATTAATCTAATTTAACCAGAAATTCTGTCAAGTTTTTCTGTAAGCATATATATTAAGCGTACTATAAAAAAAAATCCTTTAAGAAATGGTGCAGTCCTGAAACATTATTAATTCTTCCATTCTTCAGACTGATTAATGACTTTCTGCAAGGTTTAGTCTCTAGTTAGAAATAAAAAAAGGCAAAACTTGTGTTGAAACTTAGCACCATTCTTAATTACCTAAACACAGCTATACAATTTGACATTTAATAAATTTAAATATATCACCAAACACTGGGGAATCTTCCTACTTCATGCTCACAACCCATGTTGATTTTGATGAAATTTTAGGTTCTACACCCTAATAACACAAACAGCACAAGAAGAGTAGAAAAATTACATAGAACTTGAAAGTTTTCCCTCAAGGCAATTCACTCAAGAGTAACAGAATGTCCTCCCTGGGGTCTACTCATGCTACTTGTGAATTGCTCTTGGCTTCTCTTTGGAAGAAAAATACAGCGAGGGAGTGTGAATCAGAGTTTAGGATTGCAGAGAATTATCCAGACTTCTTCCCCAGTATTTTCTAAACCACAGAAGTGCAACCAGTGATCCTGTATTTAATCTAATGAATCCCACTGCATGTAGACAGCTGAATTTGATTTTAAGTGTTTGATAATTTATGATTTACCAAATGTTCATATGAAAAAGAAATAAACTTAATCATTATTTAATATTAATATTGTGCTTGGACCTAGAAACACTTAGCAAAACCCCAGAAGGAATAAATAAATCAATAAAATCAGCCATGTCCCCAAAACCTTAATGTTTAAATGATAAATATTTAGCAGCTTGATAAAACAATCAAGCAGGCTAAACAGCAAAATAAAAGAAAACAAGAAAAAAAAGAAAAAAAATTTGTGTACAGTTCTTAATGAATTAGATGCAGTTATGATTTTTTGTTTCCTTAAGTTAGTCAAGGCATAAAGCTTTGCTGTTTAAAGATAAATTTGGAATAAACTTGCTTATTTCATCTTATTATACTCCCACTGACTTGATACGTGATCTTGGCAAGGTCATTCAATATTACTCTTCTGCAGTTTAATGAGCAACAAAATGCCTACAACACTACAGTATTCTGAGGTTAAGTAGGTACAGAACAGAAAAATAGAAAACTTTATACATAGCTTTTCTTAAAAAAAATGTTTTAGAAGTTAGTGTCTCCAAGTATACAAATCACACTGATATTTTTGAAGTTTTACCAAGACACAGTGCCTTGAGTTCATGGGTAGTTTCAAATATTTCTTCCTATTTCCTAATAGTTTCCTAGTTATAACTCGAAGCAATGCAACCCATTACTATAGATCTTCCTGAAACACAACAGAGTTGCCATTTAAATACAAGTTATCATGCTTCAAACATTGCGAAGTTGATAAATACATGTAGACTCAAAAACTTGTCAGATCACATTTTCAGAAGAAAACAAACAAACAAAAAAATCTATTAGGGTCAGTGCACGCAAATCATTTTGCTGCTACAGAGCCAGCGTAAACATATTTGTTTCAACCATAGAATCATAGAAGCATAGAAAGTTTTGGGTTGGAAGGGACCCCTAGAGGTCATCTAGTCCAACCCCCCCGCAGCAAGCAGGGACACCACTAACTAGATCAGGTTGCTCAGAGCCCTGTCCAACCTGGTCTTGAATGTTTCCAGGGATGGGGCCTCCACTACCTCTCTGGGCAACCCGTTCCAGTGTTTCACCACCCTCATTGTAAAGAATTTCTTCCTTATATCCAGCCTAAACCTACCCTGTTTTAGTTTAAAACCATTACCCCTCGTCCTGTCACTGCTGTCTCTACTAAAAAGATTGTCCCCACCTTTCCTATAGGCTCCCTTTAAGTACTGAAAGGCTGCAATCAGGTCTCCCTGCAGCCTTCTCTTCTCCAGGCTGAACAAGCCCAACTCTCTCAGCCTGTCCTCATAGGAGAGGTGCTCCAGCCCTCGGATCATTTTTGTAGCCCTCCTTTGGACCCGCTCCAACAGTTCCATGTCCTTCTTGTGCTGAGGGCTCCAGAGCTGAACGCAGTACTCCAGGTGAGGTCTCACCAGAGCAGAGTAGAGGGGCAGAATCACCTCTCTCGACCTGCTGGCCACGCTTCTCCTGATACAGCCCAGGACACGGCTGGCCCTCTGGGCTGCCAGCGCACATTGCCGGCTCATGTCCAGCCTTTCGTCTATCAGTACCCTCAAGTCCCTCTCAGCAGGGCTGCTCTCGATCCTTTCACCCCCCAGCCTCTATTGATAGCGGGCATTACCCCGACCCAGGTGTAGGACCTTGCACTTGGCCTTGTTGAACCTCATGAAGTTCACACAGGCTCACCTCTCCAGCTTGTCCAGGTCCCTCTGGATGGCATCCCGTCCTTCTGGTGTCTCAACCGTACCACTCAGCTTGGTGCAATCTGCAAACTTGCTGAGGGTACACTCGATGTCGCTGTCCATGTCATTGATAAATATATTGAACAGCACCGGTCCCAGTATGGACCCCTGAGGGACTCCACTCATCACTGGTTCAAAATAAAATCCAGCAGTGCAAAATACTCTTGCCAAATAAAAATTTCAAGTTGGAGTTCTAAGTTTATTTGGTTTTCTTAGTGGTTAAAAATATGTAGTTTGCTATCTAATGACACTAAGTACAAATTTTTTTCCCCAAGGAAAACTGAGAAAGTATTAAAACATATAAAAATAAACTGTGACGGTGGATGTATTTTGCATAACATAATATCTCAGTGTAAAAACAAGTTCTGTGACACTGTGTTTCATATTTTGGCAATTGTCTAACCAAAAAAGGGCAATGCTTGCTAATCTACAAAAAAAAAAAAATGCAACCACTACATCTTGTGGAATGTGCAAAGGAGCTAGAGGATGAGGACAATAAAATACGTAAGTTCAGCACAAAGCCATAAGTATAGTAAGCCAAAACAGAGATCCATTTGGTACTTTCACTCCTTTATCAAGTGACCTCACTGACTGTTAACTAACACAGTAACATTCAGAGCAATTAGGTGATGCAGATAATACGGAGTCACCTTCGTTTCTAACAAGAAACTATTTTACTCTTTGAATAAGGAAAAAGAAAGGTAAGGGTTTAAAGGAGCTGTCATCTTCAGTTCCTACTATTGACAGCATTTCTTTTCTACAAATAACGTCTGTTTATTTTTAACATCAATCTACTATTTCTAGACTGAATGCTTAAATCAGTTCTAGTCAGGAATCACTGTAATACCATTTGATAATAGTCAGGATCATTCAATTTCACTTTCCACAGCATCGTCAATCCAACCATGACAGGATAAGAATAAATATGAAGTGGATACATTAATTTATTGATATCATAGACTGTCCTGATACATCTTATTTATTCAAAGCCTCTAGCTAAGATGTTCTAACCCTTAGATCTGCCCCTTGGAGGCCAGCAGTCATTATGGTGATTAAGTTGTTTCATGAAGTTAAAATTCTATACTCAAAGAATGCAATTTAATTAATCTTAGATGAAGTACATGATTGGATTAACGTATTTCTTAAAGTAGAAAAAGTATCACAGAACATACGAGGACAAGAAATTGTTGAGGATACAAATGACAAAGTAATTCGCTTTTTTTGTCTACTTTTCCATGGGAAATTTTTTTCACATTTGTTAAAGTTGTAAGGATTACTTGACAGACTTACCTCGCTGGCTATGAGGTAAAGCAGCTCTCCAAGTGCTGGTAGAAGGCATTGTTTCAATTTGCTATTTCTGAAGTTCTCTCTGATGAGTTCAGTTAGGAGTACAATTGCCTAAAATAAAAAATAAATCATTGAACACCACATATAATCTTTTCTCAAGGAAAATGTACGTTTAAAGGTAACAAGCTCTATCTGAAGTGCTATCTTGCTGATATACTCTTCATTTAAGTTAAAGAGCCATTTGCAAAGAATTTAGTAACCATGGCAAGAAAAAAATTACAAAACAGATTATATATGCAACGTGGAGAAAAATGTAATAAGGAAATACCTAGGTGGCAAATTGTCAGCTATCTGTTCCTCCCCTTCCCTCAGGACAACAGCAGTAGATCTGCCAGGAAAAAAAACAGCCTACTTGCTGTTCCCATGTTTCTGTCAGAAGATCTAAAAGTTCTTCTCACCATCAGGTTACCAAAAGAACAAACCAACTCCCAATGCTGTCTTTTGTGTAGATATTAAGTCAGAAGAGAGGAACTCTTCAAGTTTTGTCTCCTGATCTCTGCATTTAGTGGAGACTCACTGCGTGAGAACTGGACTATCATTTTAGTTTCTGTACTTCAAGAGCTTCTGTTTGCAAAGTGGAGAGATATATATAGTATTTATATTGAGGCGGTGAAGGGAAATTGAAAGTTTTGATTCATCTTGTGCAGGTGACCTTGTAAGAAATCACTTTCCCATAAAAATATGGAACAGACTCCAACTTAACGTTTAACACTGGACTCACTCAAGAAACTAAAGACCATCTAGCTACCCCATGTTAAATTGAAAAGCATGCTATATGCTGGCTGGGGTGTGCTCCCCAAACCCCAAATGTGCTCCAGTACGTACGACACATGTAGCAGTACAGAAGCCAGTTGTTTCTTCAATTTAAGAAAGATGGATCTACATGTTCCCCTGCTCCAAAACATTCACGCCTTGCAAGAGTAGGAAAAGATGACACTTCAGCAAATACAGATTTAACATACTTCCTATGTCCCTTAAGTAGCTCCTTTGACTACTGGGGGCGATTTAATTCTAGTACTTTTAAAGTCCTTATGAGATACAGCAAATAAGCTCTGTAAACAGATACTGTCAGCAAAGTCAGTGATTTCCAATATTTTGTATGAAATGCTAAGTGAGATCTGAAGTGATTTTTATGTACTTTAAGTGTATGTGCTACAGTAATATTGCACATACTACGTTAAATTTTAAACCCTGGAAACAGTCAATTTTTTAATTATTACTTTAAATGTGAAGTGTGTTGTACCTTGCGCTGCTTTTTTTTTTAAAAAAAAAAAGAGAAAGCATTGCTCTAAAGTATCTTAGCCTATGGAAACCAGAAAAAAATAGTAGTTCAGGCAAATAATAATACTTCTTGCACATTTCACTATTATACAGAAAACAAGGCAATAGCAACCATCATATTATGATGTCCTTTAGTATAACAAATGGAGCATGAATTTTATTTAATTTTTCTGCTTACGAACTCTCCCTTTCCCTTTAAACAGCAAAAAATATTATCAGCAGTATCACCAAGACATTTCATGTGTTTATTTTATGCTTCAGTAGAGAACAATGGACTTTTTTAAAAACAGACTTGTTTTAAAATATTTTAAAGTAGGACTGACTCTGTGACAGTCCTGTCCCAGAGTCATTGAGTCTAGGTCTTAGACATTGATGATGCTACAAATATCACTGGTTTCCTAGTGATACCTCTCACCCGGGCCCCAGGGAGGCAGCAGACTGCCCTGTGGGATGGGTTCAGTCGGCAGATCGGGCCCTCTGCTCCCTTCAGAAGAGAATCACCTATGACAATTACCCTTCTTTTTTTAATTCGTGGAGGCAGTTGTGATGTGTGGGGCTGACTGCCTAGCTCTGGGCAACCCCATGCGTGGGCCTTCGTCCGCCTCGTCATTTGCCTGGTCCTTCGGTTCCAGAGCCTCACACCTCCTGCGTCAGGGCACCTGGGGTACAGAGGCAGGTCGGGAGGGGATTCGCCCCCCGTGACGGCTTTCAGGCGAGTGGAGACCATAGCTCGATGTCTCCTCACTGAGCAAGCGATGACCACCGGCTGAATTTACCCGGGGAGCTGGCCGAGCCTCGGGGCCCTGCCTGCTTGCCCTGCCTGCGCAAACTGCCGCACCAGGCCCTTGCTGCCATGCCACGCCCTGTTTGCCAGCCCTGTTCGCCACGCTCCCCAGGGGCTGCTTTTGTGAGGGGGCAGGGTGCCGCCATCACTCTTGACCCCACTCACGCTGAGCCAGAGCTGCCGCTCGCTCGTCAGGGCTCAGCAGTTCCCGTTCTTGGGACACACGCACACACGCACACGCGCACATGCTCTCTCTCCCTGGGCGCCTGTCTCGGCTGTTCTGCTGCTTAGAAAAGGTTTCCCTGGCGCAATCCCTCGCTCCGGAGCCCTTCACCACGCGGCCTTCCTTCTTTACCTTCGGTAGCACAGGAAAAATAAAAGTTAAAAACCACCAAGGCCGAACAAACCACCACAGCCACACTGGTTTTCTCACACATCACGAGAAGTGCTTGGCCGAAGGCAAAGCTTTTCTGAAATAGTCCTGGCTCTCTACATTCAAAACCTGCTCTCCCTTCCCACTGCCTCAAAAGGCCTAGCAAAACACAGCTCCATCTAGTTATTAAGCAAGAAGCAGCTAAAAAGAAAGCATTACTCTGAGTTTTTTTTCAGAAATCTGAAGAAAATTGTGATTTAGAACGAATCCCATTCTGTATAAAACAATGAATGTAAATGCCAAAACACATACACTGGCTGCTGAGCACTGCAAAGCAAGTACCAAATTTGTCATTATGCATATACCCCAATAAGAACACATTATTAAATTCTTGATGGAATACATATATATTACATATCCACCAACAAAAAAATTAAAAAATTAATTTATTTTTTTATCCACAAAGAACAAACACATAGAAAACCAGCGTAACTTAAATAGCACTTTAACTGAGAGGTATGCTGGGCAGGAGAGAAAAATCCTGCTTTTTTCTGGGAAAGGGGCAGAAGAAATGTGTATAATTATGAAAAAACAAAAGATAAATCTATTATCATCCCTGACTTGCAGTTCAGAATATCAGAATAGCCTGATATTATCCTGATATAAGAAACTGCCTCAATGCTTATCAGCATCTTCTAAATCACGTCAGAACTATTGCAAGATATCATCTTCTAGCAATCTTTATTGGAAAACTACTCAGACTATGTTTTTACACTAACAAATTCATAGATGGATAAAATCACTTGCTCAGTAAACAAGTATTATTGTTTCCCAAATCCTTTGCTAGTATGAAATACAATTTATGCTTTTGCAAGTCATAATACTTTTTGTAGTCTCCAAACTTACTGTCATTTGCACCTATACAGAAAGCAGCAAAATATTGGCACAAAGGTCTCAAAAGCTCAAATAATCTGTGAAACTCAAATAATCTGTGAACAAATAATCTGTGAAACAGACTTTGCAAGAAAATATTCTGTGAAGATCCCATCATAGACAATTACAAAAAGCATGTTATGGGTTTGCGTGGCAAGGTTTTGGTAGCAGGGGGACTATAGGGGTGGCTTCTGTGAGAAGCTTCCCCCTTGTCTGATAAAGCCAGTGCCAGCCAGCTCTAAGACGGACCCGCCCCTGGCCAAGGTCAAGCCCATCAGCGATGGTGGTAGCACCCCTGGGATAACACTCTATAGACACCAAGGTCGGTGAAGAAGGAGGGGGGAGGAGGTGTTTGAGATGCAGGAGCAGAGAGTCTTCCCTTGCAACTTGTGCTGAAGACTGTGGTGAGGCAGGCTGTGCCCCTGCAGCCCATGCAGATCCACGGTGGAGCAGATCTCCACCTGCAGCCCATGGAAGGGACCCCATGCCGGAGCAGGTGGATGCCTGAAGGAGGCTGTGTGACCCCGTGGGGAGCCTGCGCTGGAGCAGGCTCCTGCCAGGACCTGCGGACCCATGGAGAGAGGAGCTCACACCGGAGCAGGTTTGCTGGCAGGGCTTGTGACCCCATGGGGGACCCATGCTGGGGCAGCCTGTTGCTGAAGGACTGCACCCCATGGAGGGGACCCACACTGGGGCAGTTCATGAAGAGCTGCAGCCCATGGGAAGGACTTATGCTGGAAAAGTTTGTGGAGAACTGTCTCTGGTCAGAGTGACCTCGCGCTGGAGCAGGGGCAGAATGTGAGGAGTCTTCGAAGGAGCAGCAGAGACAGCATGTGATGAACTGACTGTAACCCTCATTCCCAGTCCCTCTATGCTGCTCGGGAGGAGGGAGGAGGGAGAGAAACGGGAGTGAAGTTAAGCCCAGCAAGAAGGGAGAGATGAGGGGAAGGTGTTTTAAGATCTGGTTTTATTTCTCACTATCCTACTCTGATTTGATTGGTGATAAACTAAATTTTCTTTTCTCCCCATGTTCAGTCTGTTTTGTCCATGATGGTAATTGGTGAGTGATCTCTCCTTGTCCTTATTTCGACCCTCGAGCCTTTCATCATATTTCTTCTCCCCTGTCCAGTTGAGAGGGGGAGTGATAGATCGATTTTGGTGGGCACCTGGCATTTATCCAGGCCAAAACAAAACAAAACATAAAGGAAACTCAAAGGTGAATCAGGTAGGGGAAAAAAAAAAAATCAGGAGTTTATAGAGTTTAGCAATCATCCCCAGAAACAACAATTTCCAGTCCTAAAAGTTATAAAATGTACTTTTTTTATAATAGTTTACAGATATATTCGTCACTACAGCACTCTTTTTTCCTCAGAAAATTAAAGAGATTTTTATCCTCAACTTTCATTTATTTTCCTTTACCTTCTGCCCTTAACAGCTCCATAAATCTAATCTTTGTACAGCGAAAACATATAGAAACCGGAAATGTAGTCTTCAAATCAAAGCAAAAAGATCTAGTAAAACTTTGACCTCCCCCCCCCTTTCTTCTTTATATAATGCTATGTTCATTAACTGTTTTCTTGAACTGCTTTCAGAACATTTCTTCAGATGTCATTCAAGAACTTTAAGCAGCCTGCCATCCCAAAGAGAGCTTCACTTTCATATTTAAGAAATAAATGTATT